ACCTAGAAATGTTTTCATCGTTCACTCGAAATGTATTGTATTAATATTTATGTGCTCAGTGATAAATACAAAAGAAGAAAATTCCAATGTAATAACCGAGTTGTCGTTGTAACAAATAAGGAACATAACAAAAAAATTGATCAAAAATACATTAGACATTATATCCATTAAGAATATGTGTCTTGAATACCATGAATACATTTTAATCACAGCTAAGCCCTAGTAACCCAAACTTAAGACACTAAGGGATTCAACCATTAAAGTGTGATGGATTAGTATTTATTTATATATATATATATATATATATATAATAATTACGAACAATTCAACGGAGAATTTGAAAGCGATTAAGCGATTAGAAAAATAAATTGTTAAATTAATTTATTTATTAAATAATTTACAGCCACAGAAAGCAAGAACACATTAATTACTATACGATTGGAAATAATCAATTTTAAGACCGTTACGAGTATAATTTAAAACAATAATTTTTCCATAACACGAGTAAACAAAATTTTTGGAAATATCTAATTTGAAATTAAAAAAAAAAAGACATTTGGTTACATAATACCTACTCATGTTGAGATCGGTCAAAACGAATCTAAGATGAAATATAGTTACGATTTCTGAATTCTCGTGAGCCTACTTGTAAAGATTTGTAAGGTCTTTATTTTTGACCTTATTTAAATTGACTAGAACGTTTGACAGTATTTGCCCGTGATAGTCCCCGTGCAATATTATCCAGTTTTCGTTTGTGAAATAGACGAAGAATTGTAATTTCGTTATGATCTCATTTCTAAAACGCATTTATTTTACATTACGAGCATTACGGCCTTACGCACGGGTCTAAAAATTGAAGTTGATAATAATAATAATAATAATAATAATACCGTATACGTACGGTTATCACGTAAATAAAAACAAAGCTGCGGCTTAGCAGTCGTAACAATTGAGCCGTGCACGTCGGAGAGTGGTGCTGTCATGTCAAATGCTTTTCTTGAGCCTCACTTTACTTTCTTTTTTTTTTTTACCACCCTGCAAATCGTGTACCTGCAGATTTGCGGTGGCTTATATAAATAATAACAGGGAAGAGAGACGTTTGGAGACGAAATGAAAATATTGTCACTAGTAAATCGACGTGCATCTGTCAATCTGTCTCCACAGATAGGCCTTCATCCGCTCTGCTGCACCCTATTAAATATGGCTTAGATGGTATTTATCGTACATATATATTCTCTTCTTCACACATGTTTCTCTTGGTATTTTATCACCATTCACATCCCCTGCAACCCCACGCCGCCCTACCATTAATCTTTTGAAATTATCCCCCCCCCCTTCGTAGTTAAATGCACTCTAGACTAAACTCCCTTTTCCTTTTCTACTTCTTTACCCCTTCACCATCGTTAATATATTTTAAAAAAAGCTTCCGACGTATTGCCAAGTTATTTTTTTTATTTTTATTATTTACCCAATGTCCCTGAGGTTATGAAAGCACCGGGTAGAGTTTCAATTGAACTCTAACAATGCGTACAATAATCGGTCACTGTGTATGGAGAAAATATTTACGCTTCACAGACTTAACCCGCAGGTTTTCAGCAACATAATCTAAGAACATACTCGTATTTTGTACGTTCATTAAAAACCTACCCAAAATAAAAATCGTATCCGGTCTTACGCGTTTTATACCAACCCCGGAATCGAGTTGTCTAAACTTCAGCCATATGTAACAAAGACTGTTGGTTAGATGTGTACATAAAAATATTTTGGTAGGGTTTAGATTGTACATTTTCATACTTATATAATATAAAAACCAATTTTACTCTATAAAAACTTATTTAATAATTTTCCTACATTTTGGAAGGAGGTTAGGTTGAACCCCTAGATCCCAGAATTATTTTTGATAAATACAATCTTCAAGATGTGATGAAACTCATTTGTATTGGTTTTTAATATATGTTCTAACATGTTACGATAAAATAAATATTGCCCGCCTAAACGAAATCGAGTGTCCATATTATAAGGGATTTTTTTTAACCTTGTTAGTACATAGTGGATTTGGGATCAGTGCACATGAATTGCATCCCGGGTTTTCTAAACGACTACATGAATTTCGTCCCAAAGTAAAAACATTATTTCCCTTCCCATTTTATACAGATTTAGAATTTTCAATAGCAAATGATTACAATTGGTAATTTAAAAATATTGTTTTTTTTATCTTTGTTACACAATTAGAAGTAAGTCAATTAAATTATATTAATTTATAATTGTAATTATATCAGAAAATTAAAAATTAAAAGATTAAATTTAGATTTAAAAAATTATGAGACCGGTGAAAACTTGAACGATACCTCTTTAATAAAATTGAGACGAGTTAGTTGGCCATTTTCATATTTCTCGGATAGTCTTTTAGATAAAGCCGGACGCAATTCGTGCAGTCGTATAGAAAACCCGGGACGCAATTTGCGTACTTACTTCTCGATATTTTTTATTTTAGGACGCAATTTGTATGCATCCTTTGGGACTAGATCATTTTTCCCGTATCACTAGGACACCCACGTTAATCGATGCCCAACATTAAGCAGAATCTCATTGTACATGAATTTTTTTCGGTGGTGATTACACTACGATCGCTCTACTCATGTATAATAAACTAGGTATGATGCACTGCTTTATGATACAATACACTCCTCTTCTGCCACCCATCACTTCAGTAGTATAATATGGCACTGGATTTTCGATGTTTTTCATTCATTGTATATTATATTATTTTTATAAACCACAAACAGCTCTTATTTTTCATAAAAACTCATACTGCATATTTTTAATGTACAATGATATGATACAAAACTTCCCCTCAACCTCCTTCCATTTGATTATAATTTTAAGTACAATGTCAGTAATAATTTTTAGTATAAGTTATTTTTATTAATCAATTATAATTAGGTAACTACTAAACTTTTATTATGTTTTAAACTGAAAATATGCTTTTGTCCATTATAAATCTGAAAATTAATTACAAATCATTTATTTTAATGTGGGATATATAATTTAAATTTTAATAGATTTATTTAAGTCCTTGTCAGCTATCTTGCTGGAACTGGTTTCCCGAAAAACACCTTCATAGTAGTCTTATTTATTAACCTAACTCGTATTTAGTACACACATTCTCGAATCCGTTTTACACACTTTCGGTTTTAGACTACGCACTTTGTTTCGGGATTAACTAAAAAATAGGTATTGATCTCAAACCCTGATAACTTGTTAAATTATCATCAAACATGATCACATGGACTCGTGAATAATCAATTATTTCGTACTGTAAATTATACAACTTATTTAAAATGACAATATTTATTAAAGATTAACAAAACGAATAACAAGGATTAACACTAATTTAATAAGTAAATATTGTTACTGAAAAAGTTTTGATAAAAACCAGATATTCGGTTGTCGCGAAAAGAGTTTGTAATCATTACAACAGACGAACCGATGAAAAGTGGCGAAAGATCAGCGAAATTTTCGCGCAACATAAGACCGTTGACCGCGTAGCTAGTTCATTATGTAACGGCTGTACCCAACTCTCGGTTCCGGACGATTATCGTCCCATCGAGCAAACGTGTTGCACGGACGTTGTTCGAACACGTTCCTCAGCCGTATCCACCGGTGGGTGATTTTGGGTTTCCGATTGTCGACCGCACGGAACGTTAATTCGTTTCGCACGGGTACCCGGGTGGGCGTGGACGCGTAATCATAAAAGTTCATTAAACCGGGGCCGCGAATCAACTCGGAAAGTGCAAAAGTTGTGGCGTGACGGTGAAAGATAGATACTACGTCTCCGCGTCGTCACCGTTCGGGGGGACACATCTGGCGATAATGGGCAAAGTTCAGTCCCTGACGGTAACGTTTCACGGGGACCGCAGCCAAGTGCGGCGCAGCTTTCCGCGAACGTATCGCGTATGATTCGTTAACGACGCGAACAACCGAGAGAGTCGGTGCGGCCGAAATATGAGAGGGGAGAGGATCGTACGCACTCGGCGAATTGATTCGGATGTTTCTGTACAAATTACGTGACCTTTTGTTCGAGCGATCGAGCACCGATCTACCTGCAACCAGTGGCGGGCGTTTAGCATTATTCCGAAAAACAAGTGATCTTATCATATCTTGAAAAAATGTATACAATATGATACCTATAATAACGCATATACAAGTAATTGATTTTGTACAAACATTACAACCACATGATATGAATTAATGTTCTCTATCTCTGCACCTTCGTAGCAAGTAACTTATAGCTTTTGAACATTTTTTTTTTTTCTTTTGGGGGGATCAAGACCTGTGAACCCCACAACATAAAATACGTCACTGCTTGCGACAATAACTGAACTAATTGTTTACGAGTTTTTGGGTTGCTCCAAAAAATATGATTACATTGCACACTCTCGCGGTAACACCGAACTGAAATATACCGTAAAAACACTCTTTTTATATTTACGGTAACCATACATATTTTTATTTTTTGACATGACCTATCGTACTTACATGAATACCTAGAGTTTTTGGATATTCACCGACTCCATCTACTGAAGAAAAAGAGAGAAAAATTTCCTCTTTTGGATTTTAGATTCGGTACCACTGCACTTTTACATTTTGTACTCGTCCTATGCTTAAGTGCACGCTGTACATTTTTTACTACACAATGCAGTTAGTGCATCTTACTTAGCATGACTATTCGGTGTTCGATATTTATTCCTTTTCTGACGAATTTACCGCTTCCAATATTGAATTCTTATTTATTCTATTGATGAACCGCCGTATGATACACGTATTATCATATTGTATTGTCACGATTAAACAATCGGAATCGACTGTTTATGAATTTTGTATTTTATCCAAAACACTAATTTATTCCATGACAACCTGTTAATAACAAGCGCTATGATGTCATAATAATATTGATGTTGTTATGTATAATGACAATTTTTTTTTCTTGTACACCATAGGTAGCATGGATTCATATCGATCGACAAATGATTTTGACTATTCATCGGCACGTAATAGCTAGAATACCACGGTTCGGGATTACACACGATAGCCAAAAAACATGGTTGTTGCACGTCAAAGGTGCGCAACCTGAAGACAGAGGCTATTATATGTGCCAAGTTAACACGAACCCCATGATTAGTCAAGTTGGATACCTACAAGTGGTTGGTAAGTGTGTTTTTAATTTTGTTACGTTATCATCTGGAAACAACAAACGTTAACCTACTTTGGTTTACAGCTACTTTGGGTCATTTTTATAAAAAAAAATTTTCTAAAACCTAGTTCTGTTTTACTTTGTATATCCGAATGATTTTTTATGAACGTGCAGTACATTTTCTCAATTAACAACATTATTTTACGTGAAACGAAAAAAATTAAATCCAAATATTAGTGATCATAATTCATATATTCATATATACATTTATTTTATTAAATTACACGATTTAACAAATTTAATTTCATGTTTGTAATACAAAGGACTTAATATTATTACATCAAACATCAATATCTTACACTACATAATATTTTGCATTGTGTTATGCACACATGGTGTGTCAAACAGTACAGTGTCTAAAACTTTCCATTGTTCCTTTTGAGATATCTTAAGTCTATACTTCATATTATAATAGTTAACAAACAATTGAAAACTAAATAAAACAATACATTTAAATCTTAAATTATGTTTAACTTTTCAATGTAACGTCTAATACAATCTGTGCACTACTATTTCACTTGCGTGCATAATTAATTCAATGTTAAAACGTTTTCTATTTTAGTACCACCAAATATCATCGATGAAGAAAGTTCTACATCGTCCGTTTCGATCAGAGAAAATCAAAATTTATCGTTGACTTGTAAGGCAGAAGGATCTCCAACGCCAAAAATAAGTTGGAAAAGAGAAGATGGAAATCACATAGCAACGGATCGAAAAAAAAAAGGTATTTACAATATTTGAAACGTTAATAATATAGATAATAAAAAAAGAGATATATAATAAAATCAAACTGTAATTCTTATAATGATTTATATTGTTTTGAAATACACCGGGATAAGAATCGAAATTCGAAAATACATAAACTCTTAATATCAGTTCACAAGGTACCCCGAAGAGTTTATGTAACCGTTTTTCCTCGTCATAGAAATGTGTACATAATACTTATGTACATATTGTTCTTTTTGAATATTGTATATTGTGTAAAACGGGAAAATGAATGTAATAATACTTATAATCAATATGTTTTTATCAAACGAAAAATGTTGCGCATAGTATTTTGGTTTTGGTATACATGAATTGTCTTACATGTATCAAGAAATAACTTCTGGAAGTTACAGGTGTGTTATTTTTCAAAATTAAAAAAATATAGCTCTCGTGAGTCGTATACCAAATTACATTACGTCATTAATTGTTAGTAGATAAAAATATTAATAACGAGAAAATATAGCCTATCATCGAGACTATCGTATGAATAGCCAACAAATTAGTTTTTATTTTACTAATGTATTTATTCACGGTTTATAGAATAAAAGTGTAATAAAATTATTTTGATTGATTATAAACCTTCAATTATATGTTATAGTTGTGCTCCTTTTTGTTATTTTCATCAATTATCTGAAACACTTAGATAAAACATTTAACATTTGAATATTTACAAGGAGCTAACTACAACACAAATGATTTTATGGAATTTATTAAGAATAACAAAAATACGATGAATTCAGAGCAAAATTATGTATTCAATCATGTCAATAAATGTGATGAGAGTTGGAAGATTTCAAACAAACATCTCCAGTTGTTCCACGTTGAACATGATCTGATCAAATAAATACGAGCTTAAAGTTATCTACGATTTGATTGCAAGTCAAACAATTTTCTTCTACTTTAAATATGCAAATTTTGTTGACAGGAGATATGCACACAGAATAATTTTCTAATTTATTCTTACAAATTGGTAGTGGAACTGTAGATGAAAAGGATGGGTACAATTGTAAAAAACTAGTAGAATCGATGAATTCATCGGAACGACTCGTACAAAATGTGTACATAAATATTAAAAAAAAAAAAATTGATTAGTAGATGGTTTTATTCAAACACGTTATCTTAGCAACGATAAATAACCGAGCTGACACAATAAACTCACAAATTATTAGTGGATTTAAAGCAATATAAATTAATCACTTTTCTATCGATGCAGTTGTTGATAGTGAAGAATCGTTACATTTCCCAACAGAGTTTATAAATTCACAAACACCACTTTGTATGCCTCTTTAAAAAATATTACTTAAGGTTGGAGTTCCAATTATGTTATTGAGGAATTTGAATCATCCTAAATTATGTAATGAGACTTGGCTCCATCTCACCTATTTTACAAACAATTTAATTGAAACAGAAATGTTGACAAGATGTGCTAAGGAAGAAAAAATATTTTAACTGAAAATTCTATTATAACCCAACAATTTTTAATTTCACTTCAGAAGAGTTTAATTTCCAATAAAAGTTTGTTTTGCAACGATATTAAATAAAATGCAAGGTCAGATTTTAATTCATTTTGGAGCAAATTTAAAAAATAACTGTTTCTCACATGGATAATAATTATCCAATAATAATATACTAATAATAATTATACAATCATTGTATACAGCATATTTTAGAATTGAAAAACTTAACAATTTAAACATTTATGCACTACAAAATAAAACTAAATATGGTATACAAAGAATTTTTGACATCAGTAATTTTAGAATTAATTAATTATAATCATTTGTTGGTATCATAAATTAAGTTTAATTATAAAAATTACTTATATATTACATGACTAGGCTTTAAATAGATTAGTTATAATAAAAACCCAATGTATAAGTACAATTCAAATACGAATCAATTATTTAACATACGAGCGAAACCGGGTTATTCAGCTAGTGGAGTGTAAAGTTCGTGAAATGACTAAATGTTAAAATAAAACTGCAAACGAAAATTTTAATAAAACATACGTGGTCTTTTTCATTGTTTTACAAAACAAAAAACCCTACAGTGAACATTATTGTTTTTTTTAAAAAAAGAACCATCAAATACAGCCCGTTTTTTGACCATTGTGCTCGCATCTTGCTGCAGAATGAGATTAAATACATTTGTTATATTATATTTTCTAGGGTTCATTTATTAATTATAATATTTTTCACAAACAATAATTTTAATTTGTATAGACATATTTTTCAAAATAAACAAATGAAAAAATAATTGATAATCTTGAATTCCCGTTCTTTTTTTTACTTTATAAATAATTAAGTACTTTTGAATAGAAATGTTTGAGAACTCAACGAAATTTTTTTTATAATTTATAATATTCGAATATACTATTTTAATTAAATTAAATACATATTTCATATTTTTATACCCACTTAACGTCATAAAAATGAGCATATTCATTTTTAATTAAAAACAAAATATAATATATGACCCAACGGGTTGTTGTTCCACTTGACCATTGCAGTATCAATGAGACCACGCATGGGATAATGTCTTATATTCGTGCAGGTAATAAACAAATATTATTGTATTAAAATCACCCGAGTGCATGTCATACATTAAGTTTAAATAAACTGCTGTATGTATATATGCACAGAATATATTATTATACACTCGGGCTTGCTTTTAAATGTTTCTAAATCGCTTTTGTTGATGTTAAATTAAAACCAAAATCCTTATAATTACATTAAGTAGGCATTTATAAGTTGTATTTAAATGCACACTATAATATGAAAATACATTTTTCCATGTTTAATGTTTGTTTTTGTTAAGTTTATTATTTGGGCAAAATATACACACAAAAGGAATTATGAAAAATATTTATTAACAATACACACCGTTTTATAGTTTAGCCAGGTTAATCCTCAAATGCAATTTCCATTGTATGCAACCAGTAGTGTATCCAGAAAGGCACAAGGGTCATGCATATTCCCCCTCCCCCATCGAGGGATTTACTTTTTTTTTTTTTTTAAGATTTATATTCTTTATAAAATACTAAAATATTATTAAGTATTTAATATGATACGAATTACAAATCAAAAAAATTTTCAATTTTAGAATATTATCAAATTCTTGTTTCATTAAAAATAGCCATTTTTATTTTTTCTTATACATTATACTTAAATCATTTTTTTCAAAATAAACAAGAATTATCAAAATCATTAAATTATGATGTAACTGTACGAAAATCTTTGGAATATATTCATAGAGATGCTGATAATTATTTCAAAAATATATTTAATGACATACTTAAGATTTGGTTCTGAAATAGACGTCAATATTAAAATACCTCGAGTTTATGGCAAACAAGATAAAATAATTAACGTGAATGTTAAAAATCCTATTACAAAATATCCATTTATTTATGATAAAATCAATGGAAAAACGATAGATAAATTAGCATAGTGAATTAACCTCAACCTACTATTGATACTTAACATTACTGTAAATATATGTGCCTAATATAAAATACTCTTACAAGTATTTACAACTCTTCCTGTTACAAGAGCTATGCCAAAACGCACTTTTGAAAATATACTTAAATTCAACAGCGACTGAAAATAGACTAAATGGATTAGCTTCAGTAAACAAAAATAAAAAAAGAGATATTTTAGAAAATAGAATCGGTGAGTATTTTGCAAAAATAGCACCAAGAATATTGCAACTCTCAGATTGATCAAAATAATAGTATACAATTATTACTTTTTTATAGGCTGACAGTTTTCAATTTGCTCTAAAGTTTATATTATTAAATTACTATTTATAATATATTCATTACGAGTATATTTACATATTATTATGGAGGTAAGTACTAATATTTTTTGTTAGTAGTGTAGTTTTAGACAGTGTATAATATCCCTAAAAAAAATTTCTAGATACGCCACTATATGGCAGTATTTTTCTACAGGCAACGGGTTTTCTTTTTGTATTTTTTTATATTCTAACCAAATTTTCACGATGTAGAGAACTATTGATGTGTTGAAAGGAAATGTATTCAAGCATGCGCGGTATTAAGACGAGAAAAATTATAAACAACGATAATCATTTACAATTTTAAAGTTATTACACCTCCCCTATCATTTACTTCCCCACTCCTTCTTTCATACATTTTAAAATAAATCGTTACCCATTGTTATACGAATTGTATTTGATATCTATAAATTAATAAGTACACGAGTGTTTTTAACGGCATCGCTTAAGATGACTTTTGGTAATTTCTCAAAATACTAAAAACTCTTTTGACATAACGAATCCATCACTTTACAATTGTTTTTACGTACAAAAAGTTGATTGTATCATGAGAGAGTTTAATCCACTGCAGTATGATATTTATCGCGTAACAAAAATGTCACAAATTCTATTTTTTGATTCCATTATATTCCATGATAAATGTCAGATTTATTAAATAAAACGATTCGTTTGGGGCGAACAGTTTACGTATTTTACATGAAGGATTAGACTTCGATTACACGTCGAAGTAGTACATGAAGGGTAGTTCGGGTTCAGACCACCAACTCAGGTAATACTAATACTATTCCTAAACGCGACAGGTCATAATGACCCTTGGCTTTCGAAACAATTCTCCACTCGGGTAATGCATTTTTAAAAATTAAAATTACCATAATCAATTTAATTGTATGTTTAAAAATTTATTGGGTTACTTTTTTGTATGTAAGAATTTTCACAGTTATTATAACTACCGAATATTAGTAGCATAGGAAATTGTGCTAACGCTCGTGGCAGTCGAAAAAATATTGAATACTCACGTTTGAATAAATAGGTCGTACCTGTTCAAAACGAGTACTTTTAGTGCAGTCACTATCAACAATTTTTTCTTCTTATGCTACTGGTTCTATTGGTTAAATGATCTTTTTGAATTTAAATAAATGATAATTTTTTCGATACAGTTACAAAACAGTACCCATTTTTCAGATTTTATATGAATGAGTAGAACTTTTACATCCAAACATTCGTTAGTTTGTTTCTTGAGAAATACATTATACTCGGAGGCAATATCGTTTATAATAAATCAAATTTAACACATATGAGACAATGAGAGATAAACTCATTGCGATAATTTAGAATAACTGATGACGTTCGCTACAAGCAACACCGTAAAACAGATAAAACTATACTCAACTGTATAGCTTTATATATACATATTATATATCTAAGTGCGTGTGTTAATTATGCACTTTTATGTTTATTATACATACGCCTACTGAATATTATCTTCGTCAAAAAAAAATGAATCTCTTATAATTCATATACTCAAATAATATGTTCGTGTTTAAGTACTAATATATTATTTTATTTCTTATATTGTTGCAATGTACATTTTATTATATTCCTTGTTTTTGATGGTTAATTTTTTTTTTTTTACTTATTTATTAAATACTTAAAATTGCTCAATACATGAAAATTTATAGTTTTGTACAAAAATGATACTTTTTTTATATATATATATATATATATATATATATATATATATCGTAGATAAACTATATACTGGTAGCTCTACGGTTGTAGTATATTCAAAACGTATGATTTCAACTCAAAGTTGGAAGATAGCAGTATTATATATAATAATATAAAACTATAAAAATTAGGTAGAAAAAACTGTATAAAAATATTAATTCTGGAAATAAGTCCAATAGTTATTAAAATATTAGGAGTTCATTACATTGATAGTGTAACACTACATGGAAATATAAAATCAAAAAGTTTGAAGAGATAAATTAGTCTCAGGTGTGCGTGACGTAACAAGACCAGTATTCATAATGAAGTAACTATTGAAACAGACAAATTAATAAAATTGAAATCCATACTTAATAATGTGATCTAGACGATAGCACAAAGGATCAAAGGTGCTTGTATTCATGTTGAACGTTACGGCGAAACTGATTTATATTCTTAAAAAATGTATTCGAATAAACGTTTAAATATATTCATACTATTTTTTTTTTTATAATATTCTTCAAGTGACTTTTCATAGCATGGACAATTCACCGGCACAATGATGTTTGATTCTTCTTCCTCCACTTCTTCCTCTTCATTTATCAAAGTACTATTTGATTTTACATCGGATTTTGAACTATCGGAATTATTTCCTGACTGGTAAAATAATAAATCTTCATCAGACACATATCTTTCAGTGATCACACCTACACCACTCATGAACTGACGAACAATGTGTCCACGACCGAACTTCTGATTTTTTTTCGGTGTAAATCGGTCCAAATAGTTAAATTCAGTCTTATTGATTGAACTAGTAGAAGTGTTTCTATGATCGTTATGCATGTTGTTGTTGTAGGAAATTTTTACAGTTACTAGACCAAATAAATTTTTTTTTTTTTTGCACAACTACAGTACTACAATTAAAAATTACACGGTTGTCAGTATTTTTAAAATATTAACAGAAAAACTAAAAAATAAATCGTTCATAAACAATATACAGTTGATTCAGTTTTAAAAGTATCAAAAATATAATTATATTATGACACAGTACGTTGAGCTCTTAGCAACTACAACATTGATAAATTATCGTTTCACAATATTATACACGAGTAACACAACAGCCGATAATACAATGAATAATAACATTATATCATAATAATCTGACCGTACAAAAATTGTACCAAAATAATTGACGTAACTTTCACTGGAAATATACCCTACACTTGAAAAGTTTAAACCCATGTACAATTATATTTTATAAAACGTTTATAGTGGTAATTTAAGATCAGGTAAATTAATATAGATGCGGTTTTAATGGGATATTTTTCCTTACCATTACTCATAACTTTGTAACAACATTTTTATATAAATACTGACAGAAACGCATGTTGTGTCAGATTTAAAATACACCTGTTTAATGTAATAGTGAGTATTTTATTGTAACTCGAATGAAAATTTAAAATGTTAAAATTGTACTTCTTAACATTCGTCAGTATCTAATTATTTTCTTGTTTGACAAAAAAGATTTTTTTTTTTTTTAACCAAATATCCAAAAAATATTTTCTATCTGTATCCAAAGTTCTTTATGATTGGATAGGACAATTTTTAATAAAAATTTAAAGTTAAAAATCTATGTAAAAATCGTATAATAATTTACTTAAATGCTTATAAAATAAGACCCTGAGGAACGATTTCCAAAGTTTTTTCAGATTTATTAGCTTATCATACAGATAAGATGATATTACATTTTCAAGTCTTCATATCCAAAAATGTTAACTTTAATACATAAAAACTAAAAAAAAAAAATACCTAATCTCAAAGTTTTATATTCAATCCAAAATTGCTTCAATTTTTTTGAAAATTTTATCAAATATGAAAAAAAATGTCTTTGATATAGGATAGAAGTTTCAAGTTTCTAACCACATTGATTTTGAATTAATGACTAAATAACTAAAATCTGAAAAGTAAAAGTCTCGTTTACAACGCATTTTTACTGTTTTTACTCGGGTCTTTGACAGTTTTTCCTCACTTCTGGAAAAACTATTGAGATTTTGGAAAAATTACCTGTTTAAAGTACCTCTAAAGACCGATTTCGAATCTAAAAAGTTGCTAGAAAAAATTTTTGAACTAGTAATTCTATCTAAAAGAGAAAAAAAAATAAAAAAAAATGAAAAAAGAAACATCATTGTATAACCTATAAGATCCTCTTCGTTTCACTGAAAATCTAAAAAATGTTTAAACAAATGTTTTAACTACGTAACAAATTCTATTCTAACAGTGTTGTATTGATTCATATATTTGAATAAGTCGAGATTTAAATTTAAATATTCATGGTAGTCCGGACTGCTAAGAAAATAGTGAATGTTTTGATAGAACAAGTATAAAGTTTTGAGTTGATTTCTAAAGATTTACAGAATTTAAAATCAACTCGACTTTGGTACGCTTTTCTGCGTCCCATATTGTTTTTCGTAATGATTTGTATATTAGAAATTTGAATACGTTTACAATACTGCGCAGTGGTGTGCACAAATTGTGTTACGTATAAAAAAGTAAAAAAAAAAAAAAATGTTGTTTCGGAAATAACCGACAAAACCGTAACAGAAATTATAATCCCTCGCGCTCGGACGGCGTGCGTCGTGAAAATGTTTTGTTTTTTATTCCATCGCGAACACTAAAACAATATTATATTGCAGCCGTGGAGAAACTTTATGGTGACACGTTGAATTTGACGAGAGTCAACAGAGCGGATATGGGCGCGTATCTGTGTATCGCCAGCAACGGAGTACCCCCGTCAGTTAGCAAACGCATTATACTCGACGTTGAATGTAAGTAGAACGATATCATTTAACAATAATAGTTTTAATTAAACGCGCGGTAAAACGTTTCGCGGCGCGCTATAAATACTGCTACGTCGTAGTACACATTATATCGTGTTACACACGTTTGTTACGAAACGGAATCCGTGAAACCCGGTGTAAACAACACTGTACAGGTGTGGATGCAGTCGACTTGTGTACACATACGTGTTATACGTGATGTGCAAATTTGTGTAACGTATACATCAACGATTAACTTTGCGTTCGTAAACATATATTTATTTGTAAAACAACAACGCCGTTTTGGTTGCATAAATTATAGGTTTTTTTTTGATTATTTATAGATTATCGAATAATAATACAATAACCGTTAAGGGTAAATACATATTTACGACCTATGTGTACAGGATAACTTCGATGGTATTCTCACTCATTTTCTTATGATTGAATTCTGATTTTATTCAAATTCCAACCTTTGGAATATGCACGTGTACCGTAACTGAGTATCTCTTCCGATTTCCCGAAAACATATAAATGGACAACTGCCGCAGAAGTCCTGGTACTCTTTTGGATACTATTGAACTATTCACTAAATATACTGTATACGAGTTTACTATTCACTTTAAATTCTCCCGATGCCAAGTACGGAATAAAGTAAAACTATTCCAATCAAAGTAATGTTCAGATTATTTTGTATTATTGTTTGCTTAATGAATAATCTTGAAATATTCATTTTTTGCCTTGTTCATATTCCAAAAATTTTATAATGTCGATAAATTTTTGTTCGATTTTTATTTTTATTTTCTAATTTCTAAATTATAATACATGGTTATTTTTTTTTTTTTTTTTTTGTTAAACTCCACTTAAAAAATATAAATAAAACTGTATTTTTTAAATGTTAATGTTTTTTTTTTTTTTTTTTGATAAAAATTATGTATTAAATAAACCTTGTTTAGGTAAAAATATTTTGTTTTGTTTATTCACCTCATAAATATATATAAAAAACGAATATTCGAAAATGAACTGCAAGTATAATACATTTTATTCAGGAAAAATTGTTGGAATAAGATCGAGAAATTCGGTATCATTCCTTCAAATGTTCAACAACGTTTTACTCAAGTTCATTTCGTGGTTTTTTGTGTAAAGTAGATCAATTACGATAAAGTCAATACGCATTTTTTTTTTTTTTTTTTTATTCTCCTTTCATTCAACATTAAATCTGTTGTTTCTGATGTATTCGTGAAGTATAACATTATAACCAATAATGCCATCAATATTGCACCTAGACCACCAGATGCGAATAATTACGTATTTTCTCACCGAGATCCTGGTATGAAAAAGTATTCGCTCGTTCACTTCGTACTCGTATGTTTCAAGTACAATTCAGAATATTTTTAAACGAAAAACATATTGTTGATTTTTGTTGTCTAGAAAATTTTCATCGCACAACGGTTTATGTATTAGATATTTTTATAAAATAAACCGTATATACGATGTCGATTTGCATCGTTTAATATAAATATATTCGATAAGAATAAAATTAAAAGAACGATCAGTAAATTAATAGATTAAGACATTAAACTTACAATCAGGCTTACAGGAGTATTACAGTTGTAGCACCAGCTCCTCTCTTGACTGTGTTATACTTAATTCTAATAAAGGTAAAAATTCATCATGAACCGTAATAAACACATATTTATCATAACGAAATTTATACAAATTACGATAACAATAATGTAAAGTCGGGACCTTGCTTCTCATTACACCGTTTTATCTAATAAACTAAAGTCGTGACTTTGTGTCATTTCAAGCACAATTTAAAATATATATAAGAGACAAAATTAACATTTGAAATTTTTATAAAATATTTTAATACTCTCCCTCATACATATATTCATGTATAATGTAGTAATGTGTCTGATAGTTCGATAATACCCGAATAAGTATCAAGACTTCTGCAGTAGTCATCCATTTATATGTTCCCAGAAAATTGGAGGGAAATAATTTTTTATAAAACATGTGCATTTTCTAACTGTCAGAACTTAAATAAAATCATAATTTAAGCATAAAAAAGAAGTCAGCGTACTTTCGAAATCATACCTATCTGTCAAAATTGATTTAACCTTAACAATTATTATATATTTTATAAATTACACCAATCAAATATTTTAAAAAAACCTAATTTATTCAAGTATACATTTTTCAAAAAAACAGATTCTGTGAAGAATGAAAATTCTAATGAGAGACTTGAACGAAGACAATAGATACATATAAAACATTATCCTTAAATATCACAACGTAAACGAATCTATTTAATCGCTTTCGGTTTTAATCTCTTGTTCCTTTTGTTCACCCTTCACCTAGTTCATCGTTGGTTTTACATTATAGCCATCGAAATTTGTTGAATGTGATTAATTATTCACTTATTAAAGGATTAGAAACGTATTTTATCCTAGAACACGCTGATCGTCCAAGACCGTTGAAAAGGTGCATGGATTATGAATGACGATACGCGCATGTGATGAGGGCACGCCCGGAAGTGTTTTCCAGATGAAGCTAATTGCTGGTGGTTAAAACTAGAAAAGGGTTGAGTATAAACTATAAAGTTCAATTACATTATTTGCGACCTAACCCTCTATGAAAAGTTCATCCCATATTGCACTCAGTATATGTCCACTTCTGTTTTCTGGAACACGCTTTCTTTATGGTTTTCATCCGGGTTCGTCCCTTTAGTGAACACGTAACATGTGTTCCATACGCAATTTTCTCCCATTTGCTGTTTCTTCGTCGAGTGCTCTAAATAAAACTATATTGTTGTTTTACACGAAATATGCACCAAGTGTCTCGCGTAATCTTACAAGCATTAAAATAAACGTTCATGCAATCGTATTATGATTTCGAGTCTAAACCCATAATGCAATGCTTATTTTTCTACATCATCAAGTAATACATACACACACACAAATACACACATACACTGAATAATTTAGGATTCAAAGCATTCCTCTTTTCTTGGGATAATTTTCAAACACCGCTTGAATTCGAATAAAACTGAACGAATCATTCAAACTTTAACGGTTAATACTATATTATTATAAAATTAAAAATAAATCCTTGGTTATCGTTCATTAAGGATTTCATCATCTATATTTCATAACTTAACTCATATAAATTAATTTATTTGGTCCGTAGATATTATAATATCTGTAGTTTGTTGAATAAACTGTGCCGATATTGAAGAACCTCCAATAATCAAAAAATGTTAATTCATATTTTAAACTTAAGAAAAATATACATCTAATTTTTTTAACAGTTTTTGTTTTCAATATTAAACATGTAACCCGCAATTATTATACAGTACAACCATAGTTCAATGGTTCACGTATGATCGTACGCCGTATGCTAGCAACAGTGTTTAACTAATTTTTTTTTAAACTAATATGTTTAAGATTAATTAGGATTTATAAAAGTTCTCTTATAATGATATTGATTTAAATATAAAATAGATGTACCAAACTTCAACTCTATGCTGTAAAAATAAAATATTAAAATCCATTTCATGAATACGTTAATAGCAAAAATTAATTCTAAATGGTTCAACCACTGGTCTATTTATACTATGTTTGACGTGTAAGAAATATGGATATCGAATAATTCAAAATTTTTAAATATGAGAAATAATGAGATTAATTCACGAGAGTTTCTAGCTGCAGAACGTAATAATATTGTTACTGTGCCATTATAGCAATACGACCAGTACAAAATAATCTTAATATGAAGTACACAATATTATAAATGATTTTGATCTCTTGAAATTTTAATACGATAACATATATTATGGTATACGCGATCACTTTATAACTCCACGTAGCAGTAGTAGTAGTAGTCATAATATAATAATATCAAGTTGCGGAATTCGTATAGTTTGATATTTTGAAGTTTCTGTATTAAAAAACAAATATCGTCTCGAGTTCGTGGTTTTTTTTTAAGTTTAAAGGTTTTTTTTCATCACCCTTTCAACCCGTCTCAGCTGTTTTCACAAAACTTTCACATTGCAAACTCGAAACTAATAAACGGCAGGATTAGAGCCGGATTACACCCTCGGGAGCACTGAAGACATTTCTGGAGTATAAAGTTTACAAATACAATGAGGGATTGAACAGCGAGGAGTGTATGAGTACGCCAAGAGTATTTAAGTAGTTAAAATTCAACACGAGTCTATCTTTCTCTCTGTCTCTGTGGCGCGGGTGACATGAAATTAAAGACGACCATCGTATTCAACGCACAGATAATTTTCGGCCCTTACGCCGTCGTCGCTGAAGATCTCCGCGTACACGCTCTCATATCTTCGCTGTGGATTATTTTTAGCAAGAAAAACCATATTATAATTTTATACATGGTGTTGTTCGTTCGATCTCGTGAGTACGTTCACTTGGAGAGGACCTGGCATTTTTGTAATTTCTACGTTACTCTAACATACACATTTATAAACAATTAATACGCAAAAATAAATTCCAATTGTCATGTCAGGTTATGCATTAATGGTTTTCGGTTTTATCAACCTAACCTAAGCTGCTTTGAAAATATATTTCAAGTCAAATAAACGCAAACGTCTATAAGCTATAAAATGTCAACAATATCTTAAACTCTAAAAAATAACTTAGAAACCATTATTTTCACGATTCGTCCATGTTCTAAAGGTGAATATTGATTTCAGAAGTTTAAGACATCGTTTAATTCTTTGCGAAGTCAAACCATATCAAATTTCAATTTCTTATTAAGAATTTAACACAACCCATTATAGTTGTTCTACAATCTCCAAAGTATTTCGAATATTATATGAGGTGTAGTTAAAATTATTTTAAATTACAAAAACGTATTTTTTTCTTCTAATTCTTTAAACTGGCAATTTTAAATTGGTTTTTCAATACATGAATGGTTGAAATTCAAATATCTTACTAATAATAATATTATCATTCCAATACTTCATGCTAAATGTAATATTAATGCAAAGTGGTAACTTCAATAATGCGTATCAACTACGGTGTTTTGAATTTCGTTTATGATAAAATAATTTATTTATGATTTCCAGGTAAGAAATCATACAACATATTACAATTGCAGAATTGGGTATATCTTGAAAATATCAAGTAAAAAATGTTTCATTAACATTTAAAAATGCTACGACTTTATATCGCAGTAAACTTCTTTACAACTATTGTCATTACTGTATTACTTTAATAATTACTATTAGTAATAAAATTTATTTTTTCCCCGCACCAAGACGGAATACTAAAATTTATCCAAACCGATTTTAATCGTTACTTTACTCATAAACGTTATCCATATAAGTTATAACTTTTTTAATAAACTGACTAATTATAAACGTGCTTGAAATATTTTTCTAAACGATCGAGAAAAAAATTATACAAATAATACACAAAACTGTCATTATATTTTATATAAATGTACATGTTCTTTTTGTTTTTTTATTTTAATAACAGCATTTTTAGTGAATACTACCACATTAAAAAATATAAATCAAATGGAATATAGTTAATGTGCTTTCTGCACAGTATACCAATTAACAAATTTATAGCCAAATTTATTTACATATTATATCGCTTTAAAATAATTCACAAGACTCGACGACACGTTACATATTATATTAAAACGGCAGAAATTTTAGTTTTATTATAAAAAACTTCATCTAAACAAAACAATAATTTAATGAAAAAAGAAACAAGTTAGTTAACAGTCTTTTGTTCTTTTGTTTATTCCGGTTTTTTAAATTTAACTTTTTGTTCTTGTGTAGAAATAAAAATGATTTACTATCTCCTTTTATATCAAACTATGAAGCCACTTATAAACTGCAAAAATTATTTATCATAATATTTTTGTTTGGTTTTACTGAAACTAATTTTAAATATTTAAGTATGTTATGATGTTCATACGGTAAATAATATTTTCCACTACATGACAATAAATAATCGACGCGATGAAAAAAATCTTATGACAATACATTATTACAATATCTGTTGTGTGCGCAAAATTTCGTTTGGATTGGAAATGGTACGTGAAATATACAGTTTTTGAAAATCACAAATAATAATACTTAGAATAAAAAAAAACATATTAAACCCTAAAATAAAAAGAAAAAAAATTCCGTGTTGATATTAACAAATTGAAAGACTATCTGTCCTTTGAAAAGTTAACACCAACAGTTCCTTATTTACCCCACCACTACCAATAAATACCATCCAGTTACGGTATAATATCTATACGCTCGCCTCGCATTTACAAAAACGTGCTACGTTCACCGCAAACTATGTCGTCGCTCTACCTTCCATGATGTAATTTACAAATTTTATTTCGGCACTCATTTTTTCGCACAAAAAAAACGAATTTAAATTGAACTCAAACGAATGCCCCCTTATTTTGCTGCGCCTTTGATATCCACCCATTTCACCAACCTCCAGTTACAGCACGCAAACCATCAGAAGTGTAAATCCAATGAAGCGAGAGGAGGGCAATAACTCCTCTTAATTTGGTTTGTGAGTCCAATGCCGGCCAGATGAATTTCAGGGCTCTATGTAAAATTTTGCGAGGCCTCACATATATTTATTTTATTTACTTTATTTCTATTTAATTTTATACAACGTCAAGTGATACAGTTTTAATTTTTGTCGACAACAACAATAAGTAACCTTTTTCCAGCGAAAATATCGTTACGAGATTATTTATAGACAAATAGATGTACATGAATGCATATAGGTCCCCTCTCCCTATAGAATCGGCACTGGATGAGTGAGCAAATTATCGATACACGACGGTCAGTTTTCAAACGTGTTAATTTGTTTAAGCGTCGACACATTTGTATTAGGCGAGCGCAGTTACCAATTTTTTTCAGGTGTCGAACACTTCTGCCTCCCCCCCCCATACCACCCGTACCCATGATTCCGACTAGTTACCGCCTGTGCAGTTACCCGCCGCCAACGTCTTAACGCGTTGTTTTTGCGCAGTTTCGCCGATGATTTGGGTGCCGAATCAATTGGTCGGTGCTCCGTCCGGCACGGACGTGACGATCGACTGCCAGACCGAGGCGCACCCGAAGTCGATAAACTATTGGTCGTTTCGCGACGCGAAAACAATGCTGTTCCCCAACAAGAAGTACGTGACGTCGGACACGGAGAACAGTTACCGCATCCATATGCGGCTCACCATCAGGGACCTGGGGCAGTCGGATTTCGGCAACTACAAGTGCATATCCAAGAACTCGCTGGGCGAGACCGAGGGCTCCATCCGACTTTACGGTGCGTACGACTGTCATATCGCGTCGCGTGCTCGGCAGTCACCGCGATCGCATGATGGGTTCTATTGCTATTACTCTACCTACTAGTCCCTGTCCCACGAATGCCGAACACGCGACCCATGGCTAATTTCTGTGTATGGCCCGCGGCTACCGAAATTAACGGATGAAAAAAACGAATAATAAAAAAATATTATAAAAATATTAACGTCGCAGCCATCTTAGATTCTTAAAATTTCGTATACGTTATTAGGTTTTAAATTCTGATGAACTGCAATCGAGTATGTTTTATACGTATATATATATATATATATATATATATATATATATATATATATATATATATATACATAATGATATAAAATATTTGTATTTTTACGTCTGGCTCACGTAGTAAAGTGTTAAATTTATTTGGCCCATTCGATACTCTTAGTCATACATGGCTGCTCTAGGCGACGAGACGTGTCGTCCGGATGAGAAATTCTCAAACCCCGAGTCGAAATATCGAATATCGTTCACACCGCGAGTCCAATCGCAATAACAAAATTGCCCTGTAAGTATTTTTGGCACCGAGCTTATCGAACGTTCTCTATAGATATTCGATTTGATTTCTATTTCTCTCTCCCTCGCCGACAGTTCTTTTAACTCGATTCTCTTCCGGTCCGGGAGAACACTTCAAAGCCGATGACGCCAATTATTTACGGTTCGTTTAAATCCCATTTCCGATGTTCAACTCACCCACACGAAGAGTAAGGAACAATTTTTTTCGTTCTTGTCTACTTACATATACATACTCGTTTATACATATTTATAGGTTCGAAAAATACAAAGAAATATATATATAAATGTATGAGAATATATACTATATTATATGAGAAAGATAGGCCGCAATTGATTAATAAAAAAGGGTATTATAACAGTAATATGATTATAATTATGTTCAATTGTGTACAAATGATTCGTTGAGAGACAAATAACATCGAAATAAAGTATTCATATTCGTACCCTTATCCGAAATCAAACAAAACCCTACGTTAACAGTGGCATTGTTCTTAAGCTACAAGGAGCATCTTTTTTCTGTCTGATTAAACGTTAAATTCTTTATACAAGATAAAGTTTTACTTCTCGAAGATTCTAAATAAATTATAGATATTCCTCTCCAAAATTATGTTTTTATTTTATTTTTTAACCTTGAATCTTTCAATTCGCTTATTTAGTAACCACTCGGATCGATTGTGCAATAAATTACATTATCCGGGGACTTTGTTTTCGGGGAAACATTAAAATTCATTCTTGTGATGTCATAATGTTTTATTCATTTTGTATGTTTTTTCAGAGATACCAAAACCTTCTTTAGCCCCAAAAAGTGCATCGGAACTCAATCGGCCGAATAAAGACGGTAAGTCTATGTTACCACATATGTTTGTTCTATTCTCACAACCTTCATAACAATAATAAATGTATCAATCGACCGTAGACGTAGGTAAAGAGTTGAGAAGTTAACCACCATCATACAAACCGCGTGAAAATTTAACTTATTCTCCAACACAATAATTTTAATTCTCTTCCTCTTCTCAATGCCCAGACGATCTCATAAAAGTTCTACGTTAAACACCTATATATACAGTCTACTAATTTCTCTCTCTACGCCATTACGGTCGACATTGATAAGTATCATATTAATTTGAATTATGAATGTACATATTATGTAAGTTACCTATACCTATTACGTTTATACTTTAAGGATTTTTTTACCATTCAAACAGCATACACAAATAGATTAGATATATGAAAACAACACTAGAATTTAATTATTTAATGAGTATATTTATTATACAATATGTAAATATTTGTTCGTTACACTTGAAAATCAGTATTATATCGAAATATTAAGACTTTTAATATTAATTCATATCACTCTTTTAATTTGATTCGAAATTCAATAAAATTGTACCTTATACCATGAGATAAATTTTTAAAAAATCAGTTGTGAATTCTAAACAAACTAAAAAATATAATATAGAATGAAATCGCAATCATTTTCGAAAATTTTACTAATGCTTCGAAATAGTTGATAATAATTCTTTATAGATTAAAAAAAAATATACCATTGTGGAATTGAAATTAATTTCAACGGCAGAAATTTAAGAAGTCACTAAAATGTATCGAAAATAACATTTTTATCAACCCATTGGAATTTAAAAGTATCAAAGGAAATTTTTTTTTTTCTCAAGCATAATTCAAAATTCTAGATGGATTGTTAAGCATTAATAATTATTTACTTTTATAGTTATCGATAGTTTAGCACCCACAAATTCCACTTATATAGTATTCGTAAGTTATTAAAACAATTCTTCTACAAATTATGTAAAATATAATGAAAGTATTTCCAACAAACTAAATTCAAATCTTTTTATACGTAATTGTGATATTTTTTCTTAATTAGTTACTTTAAACATCCATTATTCTATTTAATTTAATTAATAAGCATATATTTATATTCATTATTTTATTATTTTTTTTTCTCTGGATTAAGATATCAAAAGAGTCAAGATACGTCTTAAAACAAAATTATTAAAAAGTAAAATATTAAAGTAAAGTAAATTATATTAAGTAGGTAATTAAAGTAAAAAATATAAATAAAGGAGTATCAAAATATATTGTTAATTGTTATTGATAATAATAGATTTATTTTAAAAGAACCTTTGAGAAACTTAACTTTATTATATATATTGTTTTATTTTACGTTAATAATAGTTGTTCAATGCGGTTTATTTGTCATAAGCATAACTTATCCATAACATAAGCATAACTCAAAATCTTATGCAATTAGTTAAGCATACGAAACTATAAGAATTAATTTACAAAATATTTATTTAAATATATTCCATTATTTACTATTCATATACTTACTATATTTTCACACGCGTGATACACAATACAGTCATATAGAAATCCCCACCCATGTTATTTTAGATTTGAATTTTCTAATATAATAATTTAATTCATTTTTATCGTATATTTAAATACAATATTAAAAATAAAAGTAAATAATTTCTGAAATATACGGTTAGGTTACTGTTTGTAATTTTATTTTCTCACCTTAAATTCTTAGAAATAAATATTTTAATTATATTCATTTTTTTTCCATGAACACTTATATGAAGTTCCTATTTTCATAAATCGTGAACGTTTTATGTCATACTACAGTAGGTACACCTGAAAAGAATCAAAACTGTTTTCGTTTAACATTTCAGTTCTAGAAAATTCTCTATGGAATAGAACACGCTTCTACCAAGTCTTACAAACTGTCTCTATATCTTACTTTTTTTATTGTTATCCTACTGTCCACTTCCTTTACATCCCTAATCACTCTTTCCAGTCACCGTTGATTCAGTTTTCCTTTTTTCTTTCTCTTATAATAAATAAATGAAATTCACAAATTTTAATTTTGTAAGATCGATATAGAAAACATAGTAACCCGTATAATATTATTCAAAATCTATTAAAATAAAAATAAAATAAAATTTGTTTTTTTTTCTAAACAAATATTTAGAATGCTTTATCTGATAATTTAAAACTGTTGTTTGTGTTATGTGTTAATTCTTATTTGTTGTATGTGACTTTTTTCAGACAAAGTTTACGGAAATAAAAAATATCTTTACAAAGTAATAATTTTATAATGCATCCAGTAAACGATACTATGCGTACTCGTGTATTCTAAAGAAAACTTTATTATTGTTTTAAAACTGTAAACAAAACGTTAAGTAAAAGAGGTTTATTGTCTGTAAAAACACCCATAAATTCGACATTAGTTATTATTGTAATATTTTACGTAATTTAATGATCATGCACACAAGTGTGACGTTTGAACATTATGTGTCATTTAAATTCATTGGAGTCTAATGATTTATCACGTTTTCTGACACGTACGGTACCAAAATACCTTAAATAACACATTAATCGGCCCAAAACCTTCTTAAAAAATTTAAAAAATTGCATGATTAGTTAAATCACCAAAATCTATACACATAATTATATGGTCGAGTTGCACTACCGTCGAAATTATTGATAATGTTCGAGAATTGTACTTGGAGTTCCAAAACAGGTCGTGGTAAAAAATGTATTGCTGAGAGATCGTATATTTTTGAACTTTTAAAAATTTAAATTTTACGATTTGAAACTATGTAATAATTTATCTTAAGTATTAGGATGCGTTGCTCGTTGTACACAGTTTTATTATATAAGAGTATATAGTACGCACTTTGCTGTTTTCTTGTTAACGTAAATGATTTACAAACCATCAAAAAGTGAACTCGACCGAGATTTAATTGTATACGCTAAAAGTAGGTAAGCTATATGACTCTCGTAAAGAATAATGTTGTTAATAGAGATGACGAACAGCGTTGTTCGCGTAATTTTATTACACTTTTAACGTCCGACAAAAATGTCCTTTATAATTATACAATTTAACAGTGCATGGTTATAGTTACGATTGTTATTACAGTCTGATTGCCGTTCATGATCCAATGATCCAACTCTAATGCGATATCTGAATCTCTTTCTTTTTTTTTTTTCAAGCGAATTGTGATACTGGACTTTTAATAAATCTGTAGGCTACCGTGTTGGATAACAACATAACATAATTTGTAGGTTACTGATACCGTTACGAAATTATAAAAGTGACATTGATGTATATATATATATATTATACTATGTTGAACCTCCACACGAGAATACTCAATGAGGCCTAGTATTCTTTTCATGAGAAATAAATTAATAATAATGTACACTTTAATAAACATCGTTTAATTTGAATCACGTTTCAAAAGTAATTTTATTATAATTATTACGTATCAAATATTTATTCATAATTAATCTGAACATAAATATGTACCTATTTATAAACAAATACATTAATTGTACAATATGGTATTGTCTAGTTTATGTTAAATAATAGGACATTTTTTTTTTTTTTGCGGATTTTTTTATTACGGCAAAATTATATACTTACGAAAACCGTTTAGTTTGAGAAGATTAATTTTTCATTTTAAGTTTTCTAATTCCAAATTAGTAGATTGACTAGCATATGTAGGAAAAAAAGTTGCAATTTTACATACTTTTCACCGATAAGACCGACGAGATTTAATTACATGAATTTATTCTTAATGAAAATGTAATCGTATTACTACTTTTCAGTGTAACGAGCTATCTAACCCCATTAATTAAAAAAAAAAAACTCACCCAACGCTGACTATCTATCCACACGTGCAAATTATTATCAACCTACCCTGCGGACTGCGTTTGTAAGAGAGGCAGTAATATCATTGTCTACGTATAAACTTAATAGCGAAACCTCGAGTCATGTCCGGGACACGGTAAAAACGTTGAGTACCGGGAACAACAAAAATAGAGAAAGAAAGAGAGAGACATAATGCGTGTAAAGAACATCCAAGTCTGTTTTTGGCGCTCATTTTTAACCGGTCGTGTTGTTTTATGGTTGGTTTTCAGTTTGGAAACCACCGAAAGGGCCGGTGGTGCGAAACATGACGGGCCAGTCTGCCCGTGATAACCGGCAGCATCAGCCACGTCCCGTCAGGCCCACCGTTCCTGGGAAACTCGAGGTCTCAGGTGGGCAACGGCAAACGCCTTTTTATAAGCACATTTTTTTTCTCCTTATTTATGTATTGTTTAATTTCTTTTTTTTACAAAATAATTGCACACATTTTTACTATGTAATATGCTAGTTTGTATGTTTGTTTTTTCTTCGCTCACTCACAGTTCGTTCACAATTTATTTTTTACTTGCACACGTTACGATTATTGTCACATAGTTGGATCATACGTACGCACATTATGTTAACAATATTCGTTATCGTCGTTTTGGTTCGTTTGTTTTTCATCGAACCTGACAAACTGAGTGAACACTACACTGCTACTGCAGTGCTGCTTGAATTCCATTGTATAGGGTGTCTCAAAAAAACACAGGATTTAAATCTGCTATAAATTACATTTATATCTTTTAAAGAAGCATAACATATATATGGGATTCATAAATGGGATTGTTTCTCTTGAAATGTAACAAGTTGTTATATCATCTTATTGTTACCTTACAAGAATACCTACTGAGCTTAGTAACTTTCTTTGGCCTCACTTGGACAAAATTAACATAAAAAATGTATGGTTTCAACTTGTAACACTTCAAGAGAAACAATCACTCTACTGCATGAGAAATTCCTGGACGGACTAATTTCGTTGCGTGGAGACCAAAACTACACACTTCGATCTTACGACTTGCTGACGTGTGATTTTTTCTTATGAGGATACACTAAGTCACGAGTTTACCAGAACAAAGTTCGAAATGTTTTGAAACTTAAGCAAAAAATTTGTCGTGTCCTCAACGAACTTGATGGGACAATGTATGATTGAATGATAGTAAATTTTATAGAAAAAATAATTGCCTTTAAGGCTAGTAGAGAGGGTAATATGCCCGTTATTGCTTTTCACTATTAAACTTTAATTTCTCCTGAAGAGAATAATATATTTGTTATATATATTATATTTTTTAAAAGAAATGCATTTCGTTTATAGCAGATTTAAAACCTTAGTTCTTTTTGAGACACCCTCTACAATTTAATAATCAGCCTATTGCCGTCGCCGATGATTGATTATGCCCATCTGAAAACATGCGCAGTTTGTTCACATGGCTCGTCGTCCGTTTATTTATAGTATTCGAAAACAAATTATTGTAGTGTAATCCAAAACCATCCGAACGAAGTACCGAACCGATGGAATAAATTACGTGAAAATTGAGCAACTGTTGTAATTAGACACTTTCAATATTATTACGAAAATAAATCACATTACGCATTGAAGAAATTATATTATTAGTATGTCGTCAGTAAAATATTTTTTATTACTTATCATTTTTAAATTCAATTTTCACAACAGGAAATAACGAAAAAGACAAAAAAATTGATTCGAAATTGAACAATCGTTTGCGTGGCTCACTGTTTTTATTACTTATCTTATCATCACTTTATAATATAATTTTATTATAAACACGCTTGAATGCAAAAGTAAACTGAACTATAACAATAAGGGTTACGTGGAAAAAATACTTATAACGTGATGAGTATAAACTTATAATGATGCGTATAAATTATACTACGTAAACCCACACATTGTTATACCTGCTTGCCGTTTATTCGCATTTTGATTTTGTAAAATACAAAATGTATGCATGTTTAAAAAAGTATTATTTTATTTATGTATATTTTTTTTACTTAAATTAGTGTTTATATTATACTTTCTGATGAGAGCGGTGACATATATATATATTGCAAAGTTAAATAAGATTAATCGATCGATTGTAACAATCCTTTTCTCTCGACAGCAACATCAACGTTTATATTATAGTTGTGTAAAACCATGCTTATATCTCAAACTCTAAATAAGAAATAAAAACCGTATGATAAATACTAACTAAAAGTAGTACGCATCATTTATGTTAAAAAAAAAAAAATAATAGAAGAAGACTATTTTTTTATTATAGACATTATATATTGCATTTAAATATTACTTTTTATATTAAGTTCTAAAGTTTAGAAAAACTTTATCCGGCCACATTTTCACAGTTTGTATGCTATACATTTTTAAATTGCTTTGTGAATATCATTAATAAACCATTTCCGCTACTGGTTGTACACTGCTGTGAGATTTTAAACATGATATTATCCTTTGGACGTTTTGACTTGGTTTGTTGTTTTGAATCATATATTCGCTTTGAATTTGTTTATTAATATAAAAATCTCACCTACAGAGATTTATAAAAACACTAAAACTGCAGTTTGAAAGTTTTAATCGTTTTAGTTTTAACTTTATTTTAAATACTCTACATTGCGCGTTCCGTTAAAATTGTGTCAATCCATTTTGAAGTAACAACCTACACCTCAGCAGCATCATCAACAAGGATCTACAACACCCCATCCTTTCTGGTCATGTTACACATGCATACATGATTTATTTTATTTCACCATTTTTATTTTTAATGCATTATTTTTTTAACGTAATAATATTGTATATGTTATTTGTATTTTAACAATGATTTTCAACTCAATATTGCTGCTGCTGATGCTGCTATATATGACTAATCTACACATTATTATGTTCGTAACCACAGTGAACGGTTGCGCGTTGGTTTCACTAAACCCATTATACGAAACGGGCTTTTAAAACCAACTACTAATCGGATGAGTACGTCACCAACATTGTTGTTATTATTATATTTTTGTTTTTCAGGCAATTTGGGTCCCAGCAGTTACAGTCGGTCCCAGATCGTAATAACCGTATTCGGTGTGGTCATGTGTTTCACGTCCTCGCATCACATACCATCATGAACGGCTCAACATCCTTATATCATATTATTATAGCTAATTTTTTTTTTTGTTTTGTTGTAAAAATTTGAATACAATACTATTATTATTAATATTATTATAATATCCAAACGCAGGTTAAGTATGTTACAAAAACTCAAAAAAAAATAGGATTGTGAATATTTTAATAATTAATTAAAATATATTAATAATAATTATAATAAAAATTATTATTATTATTATTATTGTAATAATGATAACAATAAAAATAATAATATTGCTTAATTTTATTTCAAAATGCTACTAGAGAATAATTTTAGATAATGCTACACTGAAGGTATAGTAGTCATAAAATTATAATAATAATTATACTTCAAAAATTGGTGTTTGAGCATAAATTGTCTCGTGTCCATATAAAAAAAAAAATTTTAAACGGTTTTAAAACAAATTATTTCAGTTTAAACGTGCTCTATTCACATATAAAGTGCCATATATAATGTACTTATATTAAGTTAATCGTTCAAAACAAAAACCTACTTCAATAAACGTTATTTAAATATGAGTAATATATTATATAATATTCTTCTCAGTGTAATTTACTATAATAATCTTTAGGTAGATTTTGTATTTCAAAAATTTAAATTACCAATGATTCAATCAGAGTTGGGTATCAGTCGAATAAAATATTATTCAATTGATTATTTGAATAAAAAATTATTCGTCATTGATTTATTCTTAATTTTATTATTGATTTTTTTTTTATTCATTATTTTAATTTGTATTATTATTCGTTATTCATTATTCGGAGATTTTTGTTTACTATATTTTATTCATTATTCAGTTATTCGTTATTCAATATTCCTTATAATCATATAAATATTAAATTTAAATCCTAAATAACGATGTATAATAATAATAGACTTATTATTTAGACTTAAATAATAAATATAAAAGTAATACATATTAATACATATAATAATTGATAAAAATTAATTAAATATACTTTTATATTTAATATCATTATTTAATTATTATCATTTATGATTTTAACGAATAAATTTATTCTGAATAATTGTTTTATTCACGAATAACACTATTCAGAATAATTTTATTCTTTATTCAGGGCACCACAATTATTCAGAATAAAAAATTATTCTTTATTCATAAATAAATTAGTTATTCATGCTTTTATTTTTTATTCTTTATTTTGATTTGTATTTTCCCAATTCTGGATTTAATAACTCTGTGCGAAACGACTATAAAATAATGATTCTGATATTTTGATATGATATAACTATATACTTCCAAGTAAAAAAAGGAATAACAACTTACTAGCTTAGTTAAACTTTCTAGTTATATTTAATGTGTTTGTATGAATTGCTTTCAACTTTTTCTTTTTTTTTATATGTTGATCATCTTGTATGATGTTTGGACATTTTAAGCGAAGAAAAAAAATACATCTTTTAACATTCCGCGTGCAGGAGGCATCCCATTTTCCGACATTTAAAATGCTATACATTATACATTATTAAAATTCGAATGCATAATATGACGTATCGGTAAGTTTATACGCGTTATTAAATTGTTTGTACATTTTATTGCTCACACAATATTGAGCACATAATGATAATACACACGTAGTAATATCATTTTCGAATCCTTTGGAAAACTTGAATTTAATAATGTTATGTGACACTACAAAAGTCTATCTTGTTAAAAATGCATTTATGCGATAAGGGACATATCTTGATCAATTTGTAACTATGCGTATAAACTTTGTTTAACAGCGTAAATTATTTAAACATATAGGTAACTCTACCTACAACGATAATTTCAAAGCGAATATAATCACTAAAATAACTCATAAAATACACCTTATAATTATACCGTTTGATGAGCTGATATATTTTTGGTAAACTTATATTATTCTTCGTTAAAAAATCTGTTTATTTTCTTCTAAATCCGAAACAATATTCAAACGAACAATTAAAAACAACAATGTAATGCATACTAATCAGTAGTAATTATAGGCACTAAAATTATATTTACTATTGTGAATTTGTTCATTTCATTAATAACAATTAACAACCATAAGTCGTTGAGCTTAACATATTTTTCGAAAATCACATTATTGTTTGTCATTGTTTTAAATATACATCTAACAATAATAAACGAGTCAATAGTGTCGTCCAGAAACAGATAATTCTTAAGCCACAACGTAGACTCGAAGATACAACATCACAATTAGTTATGACTATAATCTCTTATAAGAGATTTATTTTAAATACAATCGTTATTTTTATCAAAGTTATATTTTTATTTTTATTTTTTTGGATATAAAAATAATTTATATGTAAATTACATTATTATTTTCTTTAATCAATGTACCCATAAAAATATATATGGTCCTTAAAATAACATATTATTATTTTTGGCTCGTATCAACATACATACGTATATCTTCAAAGTTAAAATTACGGATTTTATAAATAAAATATTCATATAGGTGTTGGGCGGGTCACCTGGGCTTATCCTACGTTACCTCTCTCCTAGGACCGGACACTAGGTTGTCGACCGGAAGGTTTGACATGCTTCGAACCTTGTGCAGTTCACTAGAACAAAAGAGTATAATTCATAAATTATCAGTATAATTTTATAAATATTTAAAGAGTAGTTGAAACTTTGTAGTTATACAATTTATTTTAACAGTTATAAGAAATTAGTACATTTAAATATTATAAAGTTCTACAATTTTAAAGATTTAAGACATATAAGAATCATAGATTTACAAAAATAATATTTAGATGGATAGACGTGTCTCAATGATAAAATATAGTATTAGTAATAAAAAAAATAGTAGTAAATATAGTACTTGGCTTATAATAGTTTTGGATTTGGTATTAATAATAGAGCGGAGAAATCATTTAATAGTATTTCATTTTAAAATATTAAAGAGGAGTGAACGACTGGTGGATAAGGGAGTGTTTACGGGTAAAGTTCGAAAATGGGTAGTTTACAAATTACTCGAGAAAGTACACCTTATTCGTATGAATAGTATAATGAGTTCATTATCCAGTGTGCTATGGATAAGGTATAAAATATAAAAAGAAACCAAATCATAATAATTCGAAAAATAAATGATTACGTAAATTATATATTACTAAGTTATTATTTTATATATATTAAAAATTGAAAATATTAAATATACATAGTTATTTATTGAAAAAGTTCAGATTCGGGTGGCATTTTGAATTGCAAAATATCTCCCCAGATTTACATTTACTCTTAAATTGATTTGTTAAACAATTATTTTTACACAAACATTTTTATAGCTTTGACCACCGAAAAGAAATTGTGCATTAGCTATTTCACACAAAGATTTTTTTATAGCCGATACTTATGTACAAATTATCCGGTTAATGTGCCTACAAAATAAACGTCTTACAAATATTTTTACTTTATACAAAAGGCATGAGTAGTGTTCACATTCCTCGGGTGATGTGTACGTAACCCAATTTTAGTACTCTACCCGTAACAGAAGGACAGGCGAAAATAATATGAGAAAAGTCACACTTCATTCTTCTGAATGTTTAGTACGGAAAAGAAAATCATTTAAAGAAATTGTGTAGGAATGAGATGGGAGTAAATAATGACCGATCGAAGGCAATTAAACTGAATTATTAATGTTCTAGATATATTTAGGTTGTAGAACCACGTTTTTTTTAAGTATTTCAGGAACGATACTTTTGTGTTTTGCAGCGACAATTGGTTGGAAGCTTGTCCCGATATGAGAACCAAAGATGATTGATATGTTGACGCAGGATTGAGAGGAAGTCAGAAGATGAGATTTTGTAAGGGGAAGCAATGAAATGGCTGAGGTGGATCTCGTCAGATTGTCAGCAATTTCATTGCTAAGGATTCCCGAATGGTTGAGAGTCCAGAGGAATTAGATAATAAAATTCACTTGGTGGAGAGAGAAGAAGATACTTTTTATACGGAATATAAGAGGTAAAAGATAGGAATATAAGAGATAACTGATCAATGACTGAATATATGACATTCAGTTGGAGAATATTAGAAAACTGTCAGGGGAAGAAAGGAATAAAATTAGTGCAAGAACAATGATGGCATAACACTCGGCAGAAAAATATGAGAAGGAAAGATTGCTATAATAAAAAATACATAAATTAGGGATAATAAATGAGAGCTAGCCGGAAAAGGGGAAATGGATTCATCAGTGTAGACTATAATTAATAAAGGAATTTTTTTTTTTACGAGCCGAAAAAGTTTGAACTTCGGTTAAATGTGTTTACCTTAATCGTTATTTATATTTCATAAATAAGATTACATTTTATTACTTATATTCAATAATTATTTTCGTACAGCAAAACTTAAAAATAAATTGACGCAGAACTATTTCCATCTTGTTCTTATAATTTGATAAGTGTACTTTGGAGTAATTGAATATGTTTATTAATAAAATGTTTCAAATTTAATTTAATGAACTAACATATTATCAAACTGAAACGAATGTAACAAATTCTTAACAATATCCTTAGTATTTGAAAAAAATTGGATACTTACATAAAGTTTTTGTGCAACTACATTATACTGATGGTTTTGTTTGAACAAATTTCAAACTATACGATTAATCATTGACTTTAAATTTACATAAATAATTTAATTCAACACATATGATCTACAATTACCTGCACATGATTCGTATTGTTCCCTTCGTCTGCCGGCGGCAACTTAATGCAGGAAACAATTGAAGAGAATTGAAGAAATCGATTTCTGAATAATATCATATTGAATTTCTTGACTAGCCTAATGCATTTATATACAACGTTTAGTTCATTCAACCGATTCGGAGGTAACACCGGCGCGATCTGTCAACATCTACTAAAGTTACGTTTTGCAAGCAAAATCAAATGATACTCGATAAATGACGGCTCGATAAAAATAAACTGTTGCGTACTTTTACGAACATTAAAGTGCATTAAAACATTAAACATAGCAGTTGAATACATATTTTGAATCATCCAAAAAATAAACAAATATTATATTATGTTGTAAGTAAATATTAAGAACACAAGAATATTTGAAAATCTCTAAAAAATCTGATTTTTCTAAAAAAAAAAAAAAAAAAAAAAATGAAAATTTAATTTAATT